AGTTATATATATATACATATATATATATATATATATATATTTTTTTTTTTTTTTCTTTTTTCTTTGCTAATAAAACATAATAAAAACGTTAGTTCTAATACAAAAATTAGAAATCATACAATAACAAAATAATCTCTTATAATAAAAGTACTGAAAAAAAACAACACAACTTATTAAAAATATATAAGAATCTGGTTTGAAACATAAAAAAGTACATAACATATTTAAAACTTGAATATATATTTTATTTTTCTTCTTTTAAAATATTTTAAATGTTTATAAAATTAATAAATGTTTTTGTTGTTGTAAAATTTTATTTTTATGTGTAATTTTGTAATATTTTATATAACTATTTCACCAATTTTATTAAAATTTATATAATTTTTAAAAATTATTTGACATTAAAAAAATAAGGATACGTTCTTTTCATAATTAACATTTATAAATATTATGTTTCTTATAGTGATTTTTATTTATTTTATAAAGTTAATTAATTTATTTTAAATTAGTAAAAGAACGAATATAAGTATAAATATGGAGATAAAGATGAAATAAAAACTTTATACCATAAGAATTAATTTTTATTATTTCGGAAATGTCTTAACACTAGTTTTTGAAACCATATTAAAAAATAAATTTTAATTCTAACTCGTTATTTCCACTGTTTTGTATCGTGTCATTTCACTTTATCTTCGATGAATGGCCAAGACACTATTATTCAATTAACACTTTTAATTGATATATATCGAATTATGTGTTAAATTAAGAGCATAATCAATATAAGACTACACAAACCAGATAACAAAATGAAATTATAAGTCTCATATGCAAGTTCTCTCACTTTCCAGGGACAAAGTTGGTGGCGTAGGCCCAGGCGTTGTTGTTGACGGGGTCGGCAAGGTGATCGGCGAGGTTCTCCAAAGGTCCCTTGCCAGTGACAATGGCTTGAACGAAGAAACCAAACATGGAGAACATGGCCAATCTCCCATTCTTCAACTCTTTCACCTTCAATTCAGCAAAGGCCTCTGGGTCATCAGCAAGGCCCAATGGGTCGAAGCTCCAACCCGGGTAGATTGGGTCAGTCACCTCACCCAAAGGCCCACCGGCAATGCGGTAACCCTCCACTGCACCCATCAATATCACCTGTGTGGCCCAGATGGCAAGGATGCTCTGTGCATGGATCAGGCTTGGGTTGCCCAAGTAGTCAAGCCCACCCTCACTGAATATCTGAGACCCAGCCTTGAACCACACCGCCTCCCCGAACTTCACACCGTTCCGGGCCAACAGTTCAGGGAACACACACCCCAAAGCCCCCAACATCGCCCATCGAGAGTGAATCACTTCCAGTTCACGGTTACGAGCAAATGTCTCCGGGTCAGCAGAAAGCCCGGCAGTGTCCCACCCATAGTCACCTGGGAATTCCCCCGTCAGGTAAGAAGGAGCCTCACCCGAGAATGGGCCCAGGTACTTCACACGGTCTGGGCCGTACCATGGGCTTCCAGAGGAAACCGACTTGGAGGCCGCCTTCCTCATCGAAATCCTTCCACCGGAGAGTTCCGAGGTGGAAGGAGACAGCTTTATGGCTTGTCCAGCCAATGATGGCGAAGAGAGAGCCATGGTGGAAGCGGCCATTGCAATGTTGTAGAATGAAGCACTGAAAAAGAAAAAGCTTTGTAAGTGAATGGGGTGTTGTTGATGTATGGGTTTGCAGAGCCAATGATATATATATAGCTTAAAGAAGAAAGGTTTGTTATCTTTGGGAGATCTATAGCTGAATTTCTATTGGTTTGGTGCATCCTTTTTGTCCACATGCTTCTTCTCATATCACTTGTAGATTTCTAACGGTTTGTTTTGGAAACCCTACAAAGAGAAGAAACATCTGATAAAATATGATTGAATAGGTATTGTATCCAGTAAGAAATTGCCATGTGTGATTTTGGATAGGCTGAGTGTAATGAATAGATATATCTAAAGTTAGAAAATGGTAAAAGTATAAAGAAGCCAAACCAAGAGAGCAATTGACCCAACGGCACTGTTGCAAAAAATAAATAAATTACAAGATAATAATAATATATTGGACTTTTATTTAACAATAACACACTCCATTTATGGTCTGAATTCAATTACCAGGGAGCAAAGTTCTAGTCTTGATTGTTTTTCATTTGTTGATTTTTGCTTTTTTTAAACGAATCAGAAAATCAAGAAAAGTAAGTTTTTAAAAATTTGTTTTTCGAAAAACTGTGTGTAAAGAATTAATATTAATATTTAAAGTTTTGTTTGAATATTAATAATAAAATGTAACAATTCAATATTGACAGATATTAAATGTGTTTTTTCATCGTATGTTTAATACAAATTATTATTAATGATTTACATAAAAAATTCTACAAAACAGAAATGAAGAAATATTTAAATTATTTTTAATTTACATAATTAATTAATTAAAAGAGTGACATCTAATAAAGAAAATTTTAATAAAATCTATTAAGTTATTTATATAACATATGGAATAGCATGTAGATGAAAATATGTTTCATTTATTAATTTAACTTAATAATTTTATTAAGATCACATTATTCAAAATATTATTTATATTATTAAAAATTGTAATATTTTAGAACCTTCTATATATTTTGGTTATTTAAATAAAATATTAATTTAATTTCAATATATGGATACTTTTTAAAAATTTTAATAAATCGACCAAAATAGTTTTTTTTATTTTTATAGTGTTAAATTATGGTTGAAAATATGAAATTTTATATAATAAAATTTTGTACATAAAAACAATAATTCAAAATGATTTTAAAATATATTAAATACGAGATTTAATATTGAAACGCGAATATTAATAATTAATGTAGGTGGGCAAATTGAAATTAAAATGTATAGAAAAACATTAAAAATAATATTACTAATGTCGAAAATATAGTGATAAATTAGATTAAAATTTGATAGTTACTATAAAAATCACAACGTTATTTGTGTGAATATATATATATATATATATATATTTTTTTTTTTTTTTTGTTAATTAGAAACTAAAACTTTTCAGAACATGAATTCATCTATTTTTAAGAAGCTGAATATAAAAATAGTGAAATGATAGAGAATGACTTGTGAAGTTTTATAAACAAAAACTCAATTACAATTATTATTATATGATAACACTTGACGAGATGAAGTTTACATAAATCAAATGTATAAAACATTGACAACAAATCTCACATAATTATATTGTATTATAACTTACCTATCTTTCTACATGAACTGTGACAGCAATCACAATAACAAAACAATAATATTTTAAATTATGTTTAAATAAAATTTAATTAGTTATTTTATTTTATTTTTCTTTTAGAAATTTTCTTATTGTATCACGAAATTTTTTTTTCCGCATTCCCATATTTTTAAAATCTATTCATACTCCTGCTACAAATAATAGAAAAATAAATTCTGTATAATATTTAAATATTTCAAATTACAAAACTTGCAATGCAAATTTATATTTTATTGTACATGATACAAAATAAAATTGAAAAGAAAATTATATTTATGTAAAGTTACATTTCAGATTATATAATTTATATTATAAATTTTAAAAATATCTAAAATATAAATTATATTCTGAATTCAGAATACAAATTTATATTTTGAATTGTACAATAAATAAATAAATATATATATATATAATATAAATTTTTAAAAAATTGAAATGTAAATTTTATTTCAGATTACATATTTCGTTATATTACATTTCACTATATTACACATTTCATTATATTACCAGCAATTTTTGATGCTGTGTTTAGTTTGGAAAGATGATTTGGGACGAGTGAATGGATGAATTTGAAGGTAAATTTTTTTGTTGTTTATTTGAGTAGATTTGAAAGTGAATGAGAGTGAATTTGGAAGTAAAGTTAGTGAGAATTGGGGTAGAATTTGACCGATGTGATAGATAAAAAAAAATGGTTTAATTGGTAAAAATTGAAGATTAACAAATACCTTTAGTAGTAAAAGTAATATAAAATTGTAATTGTTAATATTATTATAATGGTAAAAATTATTATAATAAGAAAAAAAAATTAATTTCTAACATGAAAAAATTGTATTATTATTATTATTATAATAATAATAATAATAATTATAATTATAATAATAATTATAATTATAATTATAATTATAATTATAATTATAATTATTATAATAATAATAATAATTATTATTATTATTATTATTGTAAGGACCTAGAAATAGAATATTAGAGTAGATATGTGTATTAAAATAATGTGGCGAGCATTTCTATTTAAAAAAAAGAATTTTATAATATAAAGAGAAATTTCTAAAGCTCGGTTCATTATCTAAATACACTCTATCTCTTTAAAACATTGTTTTCTAAAATACTGTTTCCTTACGTTCCTCTGACTTCTCTCTACCATCTCTCACTTTTGGGGTGTCGGATTGACGATCAGGAGGTACCTAGACGATCACGACGTCAAGGACTACGCATCTGACCGATCAATTGGGTGAATCGAGTGGGTAAGTGGTTATCCCTTTCTTGCGCGTCTAGGGTTCTTGATCTTGCAAATTGGTTTTGTTTGCATGGATCAAGGTTCCTTTCTTCCAAATTCTAGCTCAATTTAAGTTCTAAGGTTGTTTTTCATCACCAATTGGTGATTTGTAGGGTTTTTTAGAGTTGTCTTGCGGTGCAAGCAAGCTGTCGGGGTTTTTGTGGAGTGATGCAGTTGATCAGAGGTAAGGGGAGCTAGATTATTGTTTTAATTTGTAGTTTGGCATGTATGTGTGGTGAATTTTGTGTTATGGTACTGATTGAACTAAATTTAGGTTTTTGGTGTATATTGAGTTGTATATAATTAGAATGCTTGATTGTGAAATTTGAGAAATGGTGGTTGTGAACTGAATTGAATGTTGTATGAAGTTGTAATTGATTCATACTAGAAGTGGGTAATCTATTATAAGAGTAATGAAATAGAAAGTTAAGTGAACCATACTTGTTTTAAGTTAATTTGGAAGAAGTGAGGTAGTGAAAAAATGAGTGGGTAATCTGTTATAAGAGTAATGATATAGAAAGTTAAGTGAACCATACTTGTTTTAAGTTAATTTGGAAGAAGTGAGGTAGTGAAAAAATGAGTGGGTAATCTGTTATAAGAGTAATGATATAGAAAGTTAAGTGAACCATACTTGTTATAAGTTAATTTGGAAGAAGTGAGGTAGTGAAAAAATGAGAACTAGGAGTTAAGGGCTCAATTGGTTTGTTGGGACAATTTGGGTAAGTCGAATGTGACTTGTTTGAGTCATCAAAATGGTCAAAAACATGTTCAAAGTGGTAAATTATGATTTGGGTCCCTAAGTTGATAAATTTGATGTTCTAGAGTATGAATTGATCCATAAACACTTTATATTGATGTTAGGAAGGTTTAGAATCACTTAGTCAAGTCTAGTTAGGTATATAACACAATCTAGGAGTGTTAGAAGTTGGGAAAAATGATAGAATTGGTAATTGGAGTTTGAGTTGCATAATTCTACAGATTTTGTTCTGAAGATTATGCAGACACGCTGTGCGAATGGATTCGCATAGCGAGTCACCCTAGCGAGATGCTCTCTGCCAGGGCATTCGTACAACGAATAGACGCGACGTGTGAATGGTTTGAGAGAGTTGCTCTCTGTTTGATGATCCGCATGGCGAATCGAGGCACTATGCGACTGGTTGGGGTCTAGGACTACTGCCAAATTTATTAGAATAGCGGATAGGTGCGCTCTATGAGTGTTTATGGAGTTTGAGCCACTGCCTAGTGCTCTCGCATAGCGATTTGGGGGCGCTATGCGAGGGGTTTGGGGTCGGATACAATTAGGAGTTTATTTGCATAACTAGTTTAATCGTTGTGCGAATGGTTATGAATGTAGGAGCTCAGTCTTGGGGGTTATCCTGAAACTCCAATGGTCTTTCATTCTCAAGTAGAGAGGATTGATCTATGTCGTGAGGAGTAGTAGGAGGTTTTAGTATTGAGGACTTCCAGTATGCTCCAAGGCGTGGTACAGAGTAACCTCGTGAGTATGGTAGGGTAAAACCCATTGGCAATGGCTTTGCAAAGCACTAGAAGCCACCATGAGTGCACAACCCGCCATAGCTCGACAATCATTCTAAGTCCGGACAGTCAAAGTCAGTGTAGTGTCATGTATGAAGAATTGATATGATGTGAATAAAAATGTATGATTGTATGAAACTTAGTTAATGAACATATGATTAATCTTTGTTTAAACTAGCTTACCCTGTAGTGTGCTTGTGTTTTGTATGTGTTGGTATTCTTTCTTCTGCAATGATCATCCGATGGGTGTGAGCAGAAGGAGATGAGGTGCCTCTAGAGCAGGCGTTGGACGGAGGAGATGAGGTGCCTCTAGAACCCTATTAAAAGCACCGCCACTATTTCTCATTAAATGTTCCTCTGTATCGCACCACCGTTTCTTTTTCTGTTTTCTTTTACCCTTTCTGTTTCCCTTTCTGTTTCTTCCCTCTCCTTATATAAACTTTCTTTGTATTGTACAATCTCATTATTCAAATAATACGAAAGAGGGTTATACTGTTTTCTTCCTCTGATTTCTTCTTATTCACTTCTCTAGGTTTATTCTCTTCTCTTTCCACAAAGCATTTGCTCACACACAAACGCCACTTCATGAACTTCC